GTGCCAATGACCGTAATAATCTTCCTCTCCTCCCATGTTTGTTGTAAATTCTGATTAACGAGTGTGTCTGTAAAGTGTTTTGGGGTGTGTGGGTGCTAGGCAAGAGCAAAGGAGTAGTATTAGCATGTGTGTGTGTGTGGTGACTTAGATGCATATCTCCTCTGGGGCCTGTCTCTGCCAGTGTGGGTGGCTGTGAGATGCCAAGGATTGTTGCTATCTAGACGCTGGTTTATTGCCACTTGAGTTTCTCTCCAGCCGGGCTGGCTGTGCGTCACACCCGACTTGCTTAATCACAGTTGCCTTCAATGGAAGGGACTTATTCACAGCCACTCAGCAAGTCAGGCCCAGGAGTCCTGACGAAAGGGGACTAGATAAATCAAAGGGTATTTCTCAATCGCCTGCAAAGCATGTGTCTGGTGACCTGGGCAGCAGGAAGGCTGCAGCAGCGAAGGGGGGGCTGTTACTGTGTTTTGGGAGTCAGGACACCAGGGTTCTGTTTTTGACACCGTTCACGGGACTTGAATCTCCTCTGACTTTCCCTGAGGTGACTTTGCTGGCGCTCCAGTAGCACGAGGAGAGACTCGGGCTGCGTCACGTTGCCAGTGCCCCATCTGGGCAGTTGCAGTGTCTCTGCCAGGGGGCATCTGTGCTAACACTCCGCACTTACCATCTCCAAAGCAGGAGAAATGCGCATTGCCTAGAGCCAGTGGGCCCCATTCTGATCTCATTTACCCCGGGCGACTCCTCTGGCTCGACTTCCTGCTGATTCACACCAGTGTAAGTAAGTGCAGAATCAGGCCCCCTGGGGCCACATTGGGGATTTCTTTCTTCTGATTTCGGGCGAGGGTGACAAAGAGCTCTGGCTGCAGTGGCCTGATTCCCCGCTGCTTGCACTTCGGGGCGGGGGGGTGACGTGCTACAGAGCCCAACGCCAGCATATCCCACTTCCTCTGCACAGCGAGGACACACAGTGCAGGGCAGAGAAGAACCAGACTCAGTCGTGTCCTGCTCGCACTCGGCTGCTTGGCTCTCCTGCCCTGAGACAGGCCAGATCCTCAGCTGAGTCACACCCCGCTGCAGACGGGAGCCCCGGGGGAGCGGATGGGTTCAGTGGGAGTCGGTCTCCTTGCTAACAGCTCTCCTTCTGGCCTGCCTTTCGCCCCTTCCCAGGAAGCATCATGCTGACCAGTATCGCCGATGGGATCATGTGTTGCCTGATGGGCAAGACAACCAACGCGGTGGGGCCCGTGGACAGCGTTGAGTCCAGCGACGGCTACAGCTTCCTGGAGGTGAAGCCCGGGAGGGTCCTGCGGGTGAAACACACCCTGCCCACCCGCCAGTCCGAGGAGGGGCCCGAGGAGGGGCCCGAGCGGGGCGTGGTGCACTGTAAGCGCAAGATCACCCTCTACCGCAATGGGCAGTTGGTGATCGAGAACCTGGGCGATGCCATCCGCTCCGAGCTCCTGCACTGCCAGAACGGCCCTGTGGAGCCCCAGAGCACCATGGAATTGGAGCTCTCGGACGTTGCCGGCAATGCCTCCACCCAGGGCACCGCTGCCAACCCGGGCTCCAGCGCCCGGCAGGCTCCAGCGCCCGGCAAGCGCCGGAAGCGCAAGCCCAAGAAGGTTGTCAACATCGACTGCAAGAAGCAGATCAGCAGCTGCAAGGGGACGCAGAGCGACGTGGTGCTGTTCTTCATCCACGGCGTGGGCGGCTCCCTGGACATCTGGAAGGAGCAGCTGGACTTCTTCAGCAAGCTGGGCTACGAGGTGGTGGCCCCGGACCTGGCCGGACATGGCTCTAGCTCCGCCCCTCAGATCGCGGCTGCCTACACCTTCTACGCCCTGGCCGAGGACATGAGGGCCGTCTTCAAGCGATATGCAAAGAAGAGGAACATCCTGATAGGCCACTCGTATGGGTAAGGCACTGTCGGGCGGCAGAGAGGCTGGCACGGCGGGTGCCCAGGAGGGGAGAGATTGGGGCGGGTAACTCCCCACCCCAGCATAGTCTTCCCTAGTGAATGGGTCTCTCAACACACCGTGTGGGTCCAGGACTCACCGCTGAAAGAAAGATGATAGGACTAGAGGTCTTTCAATTCCAGATCGGTCCATCCAGTCTCATGGCCCACCCACCCATCAAGCTGGATCACACCACTGGGCCACTCCTGGACTGGCCCTTTGGAAGGTGGGGGAAGACCCCCATGCAGCTGGCCCGTTGTCCCGTCAAGGAAACTAGCAGCCCAGGTTACAGCCAGAGGAAGCAGTAATGCAAATAGCCCTCTGTCGCTCTGGCTCTGATCGGTAGGGTAGCTGTGTGGCCGGTCTCTTTAATGATAGCTTCCCCCCAGCGGGCTCCTTGTCTGTGATTCTGTTGGGGGTGGCTGGGAGTGGTCAGCCTCCTTCCTGCTCCCTTGGTTATTATTTTGTATTTGGTTCTTACATCTGGGAGGAAACTCTGCAAACCCAGCAGCAGCTGCAGCAAAGCCCAGTGCATCTCCTGCTGCCTCGTCAACTGGTGCATGATCCCTACCCCCAGGCGGATTCAGTCTGCATCCCCAGATCACAGGCCCTACACGTGCGCTCCGGGGGGCTGTGCCGTGCTGGCTGGCCAGAGGGTCAGCTCCGCTCCCCCTTTTCACTGCTGCCCGGGGAGCGAAAGGAGCCTGCGCAGGCTCCCCACAGCACGTGCTTCACCCGCAGGGGAGGGCGCTTCCCGTCCTTGGCCTCTCTGCGGAGAGCTCCGACGGACGAGAGGGCTGGAGAGCGGCCGGTGGGGCGAAAGTCCTGTGCTGCAGGCACCTGAGCTGAGACCAGCCACCTCATCGCACAAAGGGCTTGTGGCAGACCTGATCTGGGTTTGAGCTGGGAAACCGCACCTGAACGTTTCTGTAGCTCGTTCCCACCCCCTTGGCCTGTCCAGCTTCGATCCTGCCCCGGGGGCTCCCGGCCACTCACTTGCAGCCCTAGTGCTCCTGGCAGTGAGGCAGAGCCAGGCAGCTCATCCCACCAGCTCTTGCTTTCCGGGCAGGACCAATATGCATCATCTACCAGCGTTGAAACTAGGGTGACCAGATGTCCCAGTTTTGTAGGGACTGTTCTCATATTTGGGCCTTTTTCTTAGATAGGTGCCAATTACCCGCCACCCCCGTCCCGATTTTTCACACTTGCTGGTCACCCACTAGTCTAAACTGAGGCCTGGAAACCTCATTTCACTTATGATCAGCACCATCTCCCCTCCGCTCTCTAATGTTGGAAGCCAGGCTGCACAAAGACCCCCACCTGTGACCTCCGGGGGGGCTGCCGAAGGGGCAGTGACTGCTCCCAAGCAGCGCTGATGACCTGTCCTGCAAGGGGGAGGGCGCCCTATAAATAGCAGTAAGTCCAAGAAAGTCAATTAGGCAGCAGTTAAGCAGTGCGAAGAGCAGGGCGGGAGCAGGCATTCGGAAAGGAGCAGGCCCTCGCTGCAGCCCCCCGAGGTATTTAATGGCGTGGACGAGAATAGAGGAGACAGAGACTGGCTCAGAGCCGGGGAGTGAAAGGGGATTAGGTCTGAAAGGCAGCTGTAGAACATGAAGGGATCTTGGCTCTGAAGTAGATCAGAGGTGAATCCCTCTCCCCCGCCGCCACCCGGGTCCTTGTGCGATGGACACTCTCATCCATGCTGTCTGATGATTGATTTGCAGTGCAGCGAGGATTAGGCCATCCCTGGCCCAGCTCTGAAGCGTCAGTGTGATTCAGACCCCAGTAATTATGGAGTAGAGATGGCCTAGAGGCTCCCCAGGAAAGGTTGAGTTCACGTGTGGGACTAAACCGATCAGCTCCCTCCCGCCCGCCCTGGGGCTCAGAACGCGTCCCAGGCAAAGGAAATGGTACAAGCTGGAGCAGTGATATTGGGGTTCCTCGGCTCTTGGTCATCCCGCATGTTTCCAGTAGGACTGGATTAGCAGGGGAGGATTAAGGGTGATCGGCAGAGCGGTGTGTGGGGAGCCCAATCAGATAAATGTCCCGTCTCCTCCTTGCAGGGTTTCCTTCTGCACCTTCCTAGCCCACGAGTACCCGGACCTGGTCCACAAGGTGATCATGATCAACGGGGGCGGCCCCACCGCGCTGGAGCCCAGCCTGTGCTCCATCTTCAACATGCCAACCTGCGTCCTTCACTGCCTGTCCCCCTGCCTGGCCTGGAGCTTCCTCAAGTGAGTTGCCAACTCTTCTGACAGCTGTTGCTGGAGCAAATTAGCCCTGGGGAGGGAGAGGTTTGCAGAGGGGTATGAAAAGCTGCCCCCACCGCCGCTCGGTATGACGGGCCGTACCAGCAAGGGCAGAGGCAGCACTGGGGATGTGCCAGGACAAGGGGCAGCCACTTCTGGCCGCAGCTCCCCACATCTGCTTCTCACCCCCCTATTGCACAGCTTCACCTATTGTCCCGCTGAGCACGGCATCTGAAGGGGCTAGTATGCACCCATGACAGGGGCCAGCCCGGCCTCTCGCAGCCCCAAGAGGGGCCCGGCTCCAGCTGACCGGAGACGTGCAGGGGGAGATCAGCTGGGCTCTGCCATTACCCAGACACAGTCAGTCTGTCTGCCCAGCAGGCAAACGGCAGCTCTCCCTCCCCAGCCCATCGCCCGGGCTCACTCCCTGTGCCAGGCATCTTTTGCGCCAGCTCTCTGTGCTAGGCTGGGCTCCCCCTGACCTGGGCTGTGCTGTTAACTCTCCCCTGCTCTCTGTCGTGTGCCCGGCAGGGCTGGCTTCGCTCGCCAGGGTGCCAAAGAGAAGCAGCTGCTCAAGGAAGGCAACGCCTTCAACGTCTCCTCCTTCGTCCTGCGGGCCATGATGAGCGGCCAGTACTGGCCGGAGGGCGACGAGGTCTATCACGCCGAGCTCACCGTGCCGGTGCTGCTGGTGCACGGCATGCATGACAAGTTTGTGCCAGTGGAGGAGGATCAGCGGATGGCCGAGGTACAGTACCAGCAGCCAGACCTGCGTGGGCTGAGGAGCACAGCGTGAGTTAGAAGCGATAGGATTTGCTACGTGGTGTCAGGTCGTTGGTCTGTGTAGTCAGCATCCCCCGTCTTGCTGTGCTGGACCAGACCCGTGGGGTCATCGCGCCTGGTTTTCTCTGCCTCGCCCCTGCTGCCCCCACTGAGCCTCCTGCCCTGACATCTCCCCTCCCATTAGAACCCCTCAGCCCGGAGTGGGCTGGAAGCAACACATCCCGCAGGTGCAATGTGCCCTGACCCCACCAGCCCTCTCATTGGACAGAGACCAATCTAGCTGGTGCAGCCATTGGATGAAACGTGGTTCTGATTTGCATGTGCAAATACAACATCCTCCCCTTGAACTCCCCTGGCTGCCATGGCGGAGGGGCAGAGTAGGGGGCCAGCTGGATGCAGTCCTGGGGGCAGAGCCACCCCGTGTGGACAGTCATGTGCAACACACGCTGGTCAACGTGGGCATGGACTCTCCCCCACTGTCTGCCCCCCTTCCTTGCCCCTGATCAGGGAGGGCATGATGGGCTCAGGGCACTTCTCCTCTCTGGCTCCTGTGCTGCCAGCCAGCGGCCCAGGCCAGCAGTCATCTCCCTGGAGGTCACCCTGCTCCCCCAGGTTAGCTGGGGCGTCAGCGATGGCTGACGCCTGCCAACGTGTGAACAGACAGGCAGAGCCCTTCAGCTGCCCTTGCCCGGCGTTATCTCCTCTTCCTCCGGGGACGAGCAGCATGGAACGTGTTGCTGGCAGGGGCAGGGCGGCTCTCGCAGCGGCTTGTGTCCCAACGAGATAAGCCCAGAGCTGGGTGCCAGGACTACAGCGGGGGGGGGGGGGGGGGGGGGGGAAGGGGAGAGAATCAGTCCATGCTCATTAAGCCTGACCTCAGCCCCAGGGGCTCTGCCATTGAGTCTGACAGCTCCAGACTTCCTCCTTGCACCATCAGGAGTACAGCCCTGGTATCTGCCCAGCTGTGAGGGAGGGGGAGCAGCTGGCTGGGAGCTCGACTGGTCCAGTTTCCATAAGCCCTGATGGCCGTCCTGTGCCCTGTCCTCTATTCCCAGATCCTGCTGCTCGCGTTCCTGAAGGTGATTGACGAGGGCAGTCACATGGTGATGATGGAGTGTCCGGAGACGGTGAACACCCTGCTCCACGAGTTCCTCCTGTGGGAGCCCGAGACGCCGGCCGGGGAAGGGCGAGAAGTGGAGAAGAAATAAGCCAGCCAGCGAGTGGTGACCCGGCTGCGGTGCTGCTTTGACGGGAGGGACTTTTCCACGTGGAGAGAGACGGGGTCTGAGTGCAGGCGCAGAGGGGGGGTGTGGTGGAAAGGCTCCCCCCCCCCACGCATGGAGCTGTTTCCTTCCCTGGATACAGCTGGATTGGAAGCTGGGCTGGCTGGCGGCTAAGCACAATGGCTTCAAGGGGAGCGTCTTTGCAGGGCCTGGCGCGCGCAGGCTGGCGGCAGGAGTAGGGCAAACTGGCCGAGGGGCGCGCTCCCTGGGAGGGCATGGCCGCTGCTGGAGCATCTTCATCCTGTTTCCTTGTAGTATAATTTCTCTCATGCAATGGCCCCATTTGGGGCAGGGGGTGGAGAAGCAAGACACGAGGTACAGCACGAGGGGCATCTCTGCTCCCCAGAGCATCCCACCACCCATTCACCAAAGGGGTGCTTGAAGGGGGAAGCCAAGAGATGAGGATGGCTCTGCCCCCTGGACAAAGCCACAAGGGGCAGCATCTTCCCATGAGCTCTTAACAACTAGACCCCCTCTTTGCTTCGGCTGAACGTGTGCCAGCCCCGGACAGCTGGAGCCCCTCGCCGGAGGGCCAGTGGTGGGCTTGATCCTGCCCGACACAGGGTACCTGCCCCGAGGAGCTCACAACCGAAATGGCGTGCGGCTTTTGTCCCAGGGAGAAGTGAGGACTGGTCACCGCATGTCTGGCTGGTAGCAGAGCAAGGCGGGATAGTGACTGGTGGTGCCAGACTCTGAAGAGCAGCCCTAGAGCCTGGCTCCTGCTGACCGCTAGCTGCCCTGCCTTGCGGCTGAGCCCCTAGATCTGCTTGACACCAGCTGTCCGAGAGGAGGAGGCGGCTCAGCAAAGGACGAGCCGTCCAGCAGCAGGCTCTCCTGTTATTTCTCAGCACCCCCCAGGCACGCCTTCCACCTCCTAAACCACCAGTGCTTTAGGTACCTTTCCCCTGGCTTCATCCACACTACGACCCTCCGTTTCCCCACACAACCTGCCATGAACCGATGGGGCCGGAGGAGGGTCTTGGGGAACTGATTTTGAAGCTGCCCCATGATCAGTCAGACCGTAGGTCAATGACACTGCATCCGGATGCACTACGACTCCAAACTGCTCTCTTCACTGTGGCCAGGCCCTGCCTCAGAGCATTTTCCTCGCCAGCCTCCTGCTGAGCAGCTCCCGAGCACGCAGTTTGGTAGCCCTGCCAGAAGCTGAGCGCGTCCGCATGCGAAGCGGAGAGGGAGCCGTGACACGTCATCTTCTAGCCATCAACACCGAGCGTCCGTCCATCCCCGTTAGCGTCACCTTTTGCACCAAAACCTGGTGGGCGTGGAGTAATCTAGCCCCGGGGTTAGTGTGGGGAGAACACTGCAAGTAATGAAAGAATAACTACAAAAGAAAATCGGTCACGTACCTATAGATGCAAGTACTATGGAAAAACAACCCTCGGACCTGGTCCAAGCGGCTTTTCCGCTGGACCCTGGCAAACCCAGCAGCGGGGCAGGCACCGTCTGGGAGGGGCTGAGTCCGTTGCAGAACAGGGGCTCCGAAGAGTTGAAAGTTGAGCTCTGAGGCTCCCCCTCCACTTTGACAGCAGCGTCCCGCTGCAGGCCAGACTGACCCAGAGGCAGAGGAAAAAGTCTCCCCCCACCCCTCATTTTCAGCTACTAGGAGTGAGGGGATGGGTGGGGGCTGCTGCGTGCCAGAGGCCTGGCTGGGACAGCCGTGCAGGCCGCCTGTCGGCTCCCTCCTTCCCCACGCTGGATTATTGCCCATAAAGGAACAGCGCTTCGTGGGCGTACGGCTGCACACCCAACCCTGTGCGGCATCGCCCGGGCCACCAGAGCCCACGCCGGGCTCAGGGATCTCTCCCTTCCCTGCTCTGGCATCGAAACCAAAGAGATACAAACCAGCCCTCCACAGAGCAGCTCCTGCACTCTGCAGAGAGCGGAACGGGGTGGGGCAGGGCAGATCTTCGCCCCGAGAACGGAGGCTGAGCCGATCCTCTACTGGAGCTGGATCGAGTTGCCGGAAGGACCTTTGGGGGCCTCTTGAGTGCAGCTGGTCCCCTGCTCTTCTGCACAGCCAGGGCTGAGGTGCTTCCAAAGTGCCAGGCCATGTGATGGGCTTCTGCGCCCACCTGTGTGACGGCACCACTCCTCCAAGGCCAAGCCTGCTCCAGGCACCCTTGGCCCTGCCACGGACTGCAGCGGCCGTGGGCCAAGCCAAAAGCCACTGCTGAGCTTGGCTCGCCCCCGGGGAGCACAGCCCCAGGGTCTCTGACATGACAACAGGAACCGCCATAAGCCTAACGATGGCCCTTCCAGAACCTCACCCCTCTCCCGAGACAGCAGGTTCTAGTGGGGAGGAAGCCTGAGTGTGGCAGCCCACCCTATGCGAGAGCAACCCGACTCCCTGCCCCGCGGCTCCCCGGGAACCAGCGGGGTTTGATCACTGACTGAAGGGCGTCGCTCCCGGGGGCTCCTGGCCCATGCCCAGTGCTCTGCTCTCCGGACCGGTTTGTCTCATAATGAGAATTTTAACGACTTACAAGGAGGTTCAAAACGTGTTTCCATTTACACAGTCGACTTGGCCTCCAGTGAACGGTGTGACCAAGTGGCTGCTATTAACCTGCGGAGGCAGAAATTTCTAGACTAATGCCCTCTAGACACCCTCGTCATCAGTGACCTGGCTGGACGACCCCCGCGTTACAGCATCTCTATTATCCTCTGGGTCCTTCATTCTTAGTGGACACTGCCCAGCACTTCAGCCTTCTGATGTTTTATTTCAGACCAGCTGCAGAAATGTGCATAGACCTGTCGTAACCTTCGGGCCCATCCCTTTGCAAGCCGAATCCTCGGTGGTTCTTGCTGTGGGGCTCGGAGGCACTTTGCTTTTGAATGAAACGTAGAACTGGTCAGGAAAGATGCCCCAGCCCGTTGGGAAAGCGCAGGGGGATCTTAATCTCAGTGCTCTGGCCCAGGCCCACTCTGGGCAATTACCTTGTGCCTGCTTAAAATGAACCCTGCCATTTCCAATTGAAACTGGTGCGCAGTTTTGCTGCCTGCTATTAAACAGCTGCTGCATTTCAGTGGGCAGTGAAATTATCCCGCTGTGGGTCAGACAGCCCTGGCTCACTGGAAACTACAGACAGATTCTCTTTGCAGGGGCATCTCGGAGAGAAGCCGCAACTCAGCCAGCTCTGGCCCCGAGCGGCAGGAAAACGACACAGCAGCTTCCAAGGAGGAAGGACTAAATGGCAGACAGGCTCCTGGCTCTAGTTCATAGTTCTGATGGGGTCCGGAAACGCTAACGCCGAGGGGTCTGTCGGACACACCCTGGACTGAGGAATGTGCAGTAACAACCCCATTGCCAGAGCGTGGATTTGCACTGAGTGCAGACTGGGGGGCGGCTGCAGCGCCAGCCAGCCATAGGAGAACACTGTGGCTGTAGCTCAAAGAAATCTCTGCTTACTGCAGTAGACAGACTAGTCTCCCCCCCACCCAAACAAAAAAAAAAAAAAGAACAGGGGCAGCAGTGGTCAGCTATTGACCATGGCAAAGGAAGCAGCCCTGGACCCAATTCCTCCTCACCCACACCCTGTGCAGTCACTGACACCAGTGGGTGTACAATGCTACCGCCTCCAAGCAGCACCACCTTAGCACTTGGGGTTAATGGCTGCCACAGGTGTGGGGTGAGGAGGATGTGGGTCACCTGCGTGCAGCCCTATCCCCCCCCTTCCTCTCACCCTTAGAGCAGGGTGTGTTCAACTAGCCCCACTGATGGGGGCAGGGGGAGGAGCTGTTCTCCAGTGAGGAGGGAGGGAGAAAAGGCCAATGCTTTGGTTTCGGTTCTCTCCCACTAGGTGGCAAGGGTGAGCTTCCCAGAGAACTGTCTCTAACCACCAGCACCAGGCAGGCTGGGGCCCTGGGGGTGGAACCCTGCTGCTGGCACTGGTCTGCCAGGCTGGTTGATTTGACCATTAACACTCCCTCCCTGCAGCTGGGCTCCAAGAGCTGCTTCCCCCCCCCCCATCCTCCTGAGTTGTACTTGGAAACACAGGGTTGACCTTGCCGCTGCGTTGAGGTGACTGTTATTGTGCCCTGGTGTGGTACACGTTCTTTTCAGTGTTTGTTGCCATGAATTCCGGAGTCTGTGCCGCTTGTACCTGACCCTGCTTGTGTTGAAGCAAAAGGAAAGTTGTGCACTGTAATCCACCATTTAAAGATGAAACCCTAACCTGTGAGCGTGCCATTTCATACAGTAAATAGCCATTCTATTCTCAGCACGTGTGACTTTATTGACCCAGTGACCGGCTCCTGCAGCCCTGGGGCAGGGTCTGCTCTGTGCTCGGACACAGGCTGCAGTTCCGTCACTGCCGCTCTGAGCGGTTAACCTCACTGCTGGTCCCAAGGAGAGTCTTGCTGAGTTGCAAGGGAGCAGAGCGTCGCACAGGCCGGGCAGGAGTCCTATCGCTCTGCAAGGAGCATGTTAGAACTAGTACTGAGAACAGCCCGGATCGGGTCAAAGGGGTGGGAGAAAACCAGCTACAGCACAATGGACCAGAGAGATTAAAATGTGTGAGAGAAGGCACAGGGAAGCCCAACACCTCTCCCTACTTCGGGGTGGAGGAATGATCCTGGCAGAACAGAGGCTGGGGGATGGACCGAGACACGAGAGTTCAGATCCCTGCAGACAGACAGGCTGAAAAGCTTCTACTTCTGAGCTAAGAGCCATCCACAGTGATTTATTTTTTTAAAAAAACATTCTTTTGGGAAAGACAAATAAAAAAAATACAAACCTTAAAGCAGCACAAAAACTAGCAGTATGTAAAAGGTAGTGCTCCCCACGCGCCCTCTCTCCAGCAGATCATTCTCCATGCGCGATTCCACAGACAGAATCAAGAACATGAGCTGCCACTAACAGGTCCCCTGCCCCTCGCAGGCCGGTCAGCACGTGACACTAGGGAATGATTCCGCTTGCTACAAACACTGTAAACCCCCCAGGGGTTCTTTGTGCCGGACTTCTCTTGAGGCTCCTGCCAAACCTCAGAGCAGCAGAGATAAAAGACAAATTTAATTCACATTTCGGTGATTAAAAATCCCGCCCCCGACAGGCAGGAGACACCTTCCACGGCCAGTTGGCCAAGTGCAGTTTAATGCTCCCCCTTCTCTAGGGAGAGGGGAGCAGGCTTCAGTTCCACAGCAGCTTGGATCTGCCCTTTTCTCGAGCTGCCGCCGGTGGTGAATGACTCCAAGACCCCGTCTAGCTAAGAGCTCCGTTATCCCAGTGCCCCCTGCGAGCCGTACACCTCCCTGGCTCACCATACGCAGCCATCTGATTAGAGTTGCAGCCGCCAGCCAGGCGAGAGGAGCATCCTCACTGCCCAATCTGGAGGTCTGCCGGACGCAACTGCCGTTCCCCTTCCGCCAGGAAGATCTGCATGGCCCTGTGCAGCATGTGAATCCCCAGGCACCGGCGACGTTTCATGGGCCAGCTCGCCACCACGCCGTAGTAATTCCCCTTCTTCTGATTGGTGAGCATCTTTAACCCTGGAAGGGGAAGCATGCTCACTAGAGCCATCTGCACTAAGGAGGTGGGGGGAGCAGGGGGTTCCCACTAGCAGGGGAGCACACAGCTTGATCCCCCCCCCCCCCCAAATCCCTCAGCGGAATCACCCCCGTCCTGTGCCAGCCACGGGAAACTTCTCTCTGGCTGCCCCATGGGAAGGCTGCTAAAGGAGGTGCGTTTCCATGGAGGGCAACAGCGTCACAGCTGCTTGTATCAGGAGTGAGTTCAGCTCAGTGACAGCCCTGTCCGCCCCCTTCCCACCACGAATAGGACAGGGCGTGTTCAAGCTAGCCCCCCAAGACGCGGACCTCAGAGGATGGGATGGCTAGAAGCTCACCGAGGTTCACGTGAAACCAAGAACAAATATTTCATCTTCAAAGTGCTTTAAAAACAAGCCAACCCTCCCCACCCCACTAGGAGGCAAGTCGTCATCACCATTCCGCCTTTACAGATGGGGAAACCGAGGCACGGAGCTGGGAAAACTTCCCCAAGGTCATGGAGGGGGGGATTCAGTTTCAGAGTTGGGGCTCCCAGTCGTGGGCTCAGAGCCCAGCCCCTCCCCTTCTAAACCACTTCACCGTGGGGCTACGGAGGGAATGGCCAGATCGGGGACGTCTTTGAAGGATCTCTTGGGGGGGGGAAAGCTCGTGTAAACCTAGGACAAAACCATCATGCCACTTGCTGCTGCCTTACCAATCGCATCCACCAAGCAGGCCTCCCGCGTGTAAGCTTCCACCGGGATGACGTTCTGGAAGCAGTGCACGGAGATCACGCCCTGGCCGCCCTCCCAGATGTCCAGGATGTGCTGCACTTTGGGGCACGCCTGTGGGACATACAGTCGATGGTGACTACAAACCTCCTAACACGGCGGTTTTCAAACTTCATTCATCTGTGAACCCCTAAAAACAATTTTGAATGGAGGTGCAGCCCCCTTTGGGAATCTTAGACGGTCTGCGGACCCCCAGGGATCTGCGGACCACAGGTTGAAAACCACTGGTGGGGGCAGGCGAGTTATCCCGATAGACACACTGGGCGTGGGCTGTTCCCAGAGACGTTTAAACCCAAGCAATTTTATTCTTCCAACTGGTTCTCGCCCAGATCTGGAGCAGCCAGCTCATTGTCCCCTGGCAGGTTCCTGGTCGTTCTCCATGCGATGGCCATCTCCCCAGGCCCTCACTGACAAGTGGTGCAAATGTGAATAGTGCCGGGTAACAGCCCGAAGCCCGTTCCATCCACAAAGCAGGCCTGCTCCCAGCGCCCAGCCATCAGCTGGTACCAGCTTCCTGTCACTACCAGGCGGCGGAGGAGTCAGTGGCAAACCTTGAAGTTAAAGGGCTCTCCTGAGGCATGCAATCCCCACACCCCTTTCCACAGGGGACTAAACAGCTTTGGGCCAGATTCTGGGCCGGTGTAAATCAGTGAGCTCCAGCTTCACACTGATCTCATCATCTGTACAGAGCTTGTGTTAAATGTGGGTTTTAAACCTCGGGCAGAGCAGAAAAGTCTAGTTTAGGGCCTATCGCCACCTAGTGGCAGTTTGTTTTAGGACTCCCCTGCCCAGTTACCTGCTTCTTTCCACCCTTGTAGTGAGTTAGGGCCTGGTAGAGGTGGCTGTAGGGTCGGGAGCGTTTCCCTTTGCCCACGTAGAAGATGGCACTGACGAAACTCCTAAAGCAGTCAGCCTGGCTCAGGTGGTGGCAGCGGAAAGGTAAGTTCTGAGTCACCCTGCAGGAGGAGGCAACGCTGAGCGTGGAAGGGTTTGGTCTCATTTGCTGTTCCTTCCACACGCCCCAAGTCTCCGGCTCAGCAGGCTGCGCTCCGCGGGGGCCCCGGCTAGTCTCTATGTATAGTTATTAGCTCAGGCTCTTTTAAGGTGTCTCAAGTTGCGCACCCAAAAATCACCAGTCACTTCTGAAAAGCTTGGCCAGTGGACCTCAGTTCCCTGCTGGTACAAACACGGCATACCCCACTCACCCACCACCGCCCCGCACAGGTCCTGCGGGAACAGGAGAGCAGAGTCGCTCTTGCCAATGGAGCGGGAGGGTAGAAGAGAAAGTTCGCCTAGTGGACTTTCCCCAGGAGATGGCAGTTTTAAAGCAGGTCAGATGCGGGACCTGCAAACTTTGTCCCTAAGGGGGAAGAGTTCAGAGAGACCCTCTAAGAGAGAGACGGGAAAAGCCGCCCTGCGAGGACATGGTGCAGGGAGAGAGGCCATACCTGGGGTCCAACAGCAGATAGTTAAAGCTGGACTTGAGCACGCCCTCCCTCCACTTCTTGTTCTTGTCGGGCTGGTCGAACTGTCTGGAGAGAGCCATTTCGTCGTCCTTGCAGTCGGGGATCTGAAAGGTCTCTAGCGCAGAGGCCAGCTCAGGGCTGTGTCCTGTGCCAGTGCAAGAAGCAGCCCGTTCTCCCCCCCCCGCCCCAGAGAGGGGGGAGGGGGAGAGAGAGAGAGCATACAGCTGGATTAGACAAGGCAAGGCGAGCCAGAGATGGCTAGGCAACGGGGAGTAATGTGCACACACCAGGGAGCACCCAGCTATCGCCTCTTCCCAAGAGACACCGCCAGAGCAGAAATCTAGTGAGTGCAGCACTTTGGGCTGTAGGTTACCAGGTTCGTACACGCCGGATCTGGGCTATCGGGTTTGTGTTTCTTTACACCGATTACCGTCCTCTCGGCCTTTGGATCGCCCGCCTTTACTAGTCCTTTCAGTGAACATCACCACATCACAGCGGGGGCAAAGCTATAAAGAACTCCGGCCATTCCAAACTGCCTCAGCAGCAGTCAGCTCCAACTGGGTTTTATGCCACTTCATTCCCTGGCTCGGAGTATCCGACTAGGTGCTCCAGGCTGTAGGGAGGTCACTACAGTGAACTGGGAGCATTTAGGGCCTCAGAGCCAATACAGAGTGGAGCCCAGGCTTGGTAACAGGACAACGCAACGCCTGGAAGGGACCCGCGGGGGAAGGGGGAGTAGGTGCTTTCGGATGCTGCCAAGGAATGATTCCTCTAGCAGCGAGAGCGCATGGATCAAACCAAGGGGGTTGGCATGGCCGAGGGGAGAAAAGGGGTCCTGTAAGTGGTTGCTTTCTTTGGGGTCAAATGCACCTTTAAAGAAACCTCTGTACACAGGAGCTGCACTGGCTTAATTTGAGGTGAGAGTTTAAACCAATTTTGTTAAACTGGTGCTAAAGGCCACGTGGGACTTTATTTCAGGGTAAAGCAGATTGAGGCCTGGTTTGGCTGACCCAGCCATGTTGCTCAGGGATGTGAAAAATCCCCCCCCTCCCCCGAGTGACGTAGTTACGCTGACCTATGCTCCGTGAAGATAGCGCTAGGAATTCTTCCATCGGTCTAGCTACTGCCTGTCAGGGAGGTGGATTAGCTGTGCCCTCTGTCAGCATAGGTAGTGTCTACATGGAAGCACTACAGTTCCACTGTAGCATTTCAAGCGTAAACAAGCCCTAAGTCTATTAGGAACAGATTTAAGCTAAACCAAGATTATAGCATCCACACTGTGGTCTGAACTGGTTTAACTAACTCAGTGCAAGTTTGTGTGCAGACAAGATCAGGCCCCAGGACTGGAAAAGCAGCAACAGAAAAACCTGTTAAAATGTTAATGCTGCAGACCTTGTCCACACAGGAAAGCGATTTAGTAAAACCAGTGCAAACCCCTGTGTTGACACTGATTTCAGTTGGCGAGGGGCTTATTTCAGGTTCCTAATCCACTTTAGCTAAACCAAATACACCCAGTTTAAATTGGAGCAGGACTTTGCATGGGTTTAACTAAATCAATTTAAACAGGTGCAGCTTTTCCATGCTGACTTGGCCTAAATGCTCCGTCTCTGACAGAACAGCTTAGCTAGAAGCTCCACACCCACCTGTTCCCTGGAAGAAATTGCTTACCTGCAGACCTCTTCCTGGCCTGGGCGTTCGGGTCTGTCATCAGTTTGTCGAGCAGCTGCAAGTAGAACTTCCTCGTTAGACCCGTAATGGGCCCTGGGTTCGCGCCCAGGTTTCTCAGCTTCCTAATGAGGCCTTCATCAGAGAGGAGATGCAGCCTGGAGGTTGCCATTGGTGACTTGCACTGCGGGGGCTGGTTCTCCTTGCTTGCCTGCTCCGCCAGTTTGCTCTGGTAGGCTCTCCAGTCATAAACGATAGTGTCATCAGAGCTCGTAGTGTCTGTGAGGACGGATGCGTCGTCCGTGCAAGGGACGTGCCGCTCGATCAGCGCGTACCCTTCCTCCTCGTCCATGTAGAGATATTCCACCGGCTCCCGGGCGCTGAGGTTCACAGGCCGGCCGCCGGGCGAGAGGGGTAAGTCCTGGCTGCATGAGTCCGGCACGGGGCTCAGCCTCGAAGGGTGGTCGGTGGCAGACGTTGCCCAAGAAGCCCTGCTGGAGGACAGTCGACTGAAACTAACCCTGGAGGGACCAGGCTGCCTCTTGGCATCCAGCTGAGGCTGATGGCGCTCCTCTTGTGGGCACGCGCTGGGCAACACTCTCCCACCTTCCTCATTCGCAGCATCTGATTCAGCCTGGGAGAAGGCTGTGGCACCAAGGGGCCTGGTGAGAGCAACCTGCCGCGTTGGGTCTGTGCAGTCACTCTCCCCATCCTCCGTCAGCCACGTGCTGTCTGACGGGGGGTTGTCTGTATCGGAGCTTGGGAGGCGGGGAGGAAGGCCAGGGTGGCAGGCAGCACCTGGCTCGGCTTCCCCCTTGTTACCGGACAAGGACTGCTCATCGGTGCCCCCGGCAGAGTCTAGCAGCACTGTGGGGCTGGCATCTGGGTAGCTGCTATGACCAGCAGAGGACCCTGAGTGGCTGGTGGCTTTTGCAATTATTTCAGTATCATCCAGGTCATTCGTTTCTTCTGCTTCCCAACAAGATGCATTTTCATCCCCCTGAGCTCCCCAGCTCCCCCACGCGGTATTACCTTCCAGACAGGCGGCAGGGCCAACTGGCATCCAACGCATCCCCGGGGGGCTCCGAATTCTCCTGGGCCGCCTTGGCATCTCCAGCGTCTCCTCGAAGAGCGATGAGGAGGAGCTGCTGTCACGCGCCGCAGAGGTCAAGCGGCTTTTTGTTCTGGGGGTGACGTGGCAGGACCTGGGACGCAGCTGAAGCAGTGGGGAAACATCTGAAGATGTGGGAACCATCTTCTGTTTCTCGTTCAAGTGAGAGAGCTCGTCTTCTCCAGAACCGTCAGCGGGACTGGCAAGGTGCTGGATCACTAAGGTGTCAGCTTCACTGCTCAGACTGGGAGGCTTTACCGATCTCCCTTGGAATGGGTTGCCATTCATTTCTTCCTCTCTGTTATTGTCTTCCATGTCCCCGCCTGGCGTCCCCATGTCCGGCGTCCCGCCCATGGCCCCACTGAGCAGCACCGTGTCCGGCATCTCTGGGTCAGACCCATTTGCAGAGGGATCCCATTCCTGAATATCGGCTTTTCTTGCTACCCACTGGCTACTGGTCAGTTCTGTCCTTGCAGAGAGACTGCTGTCTGTGGAAAGCAGCATCGCCTTCAATTTACCCTGCAGTTTCCAATCTGCACTAATTTGCCTGTAGTTCACAGAGGCGGCAGCTTCCCGAGGACGAGCATCCTCAACCGCAACATCAGCCGGGGTCAACTGATGTGGTTCCTGAGTCGACAAGATGTTTGAGCCTCTGTCATTCTGCTTGTGAGAGACACACTCAGCCTGTAACTCTTGGGAAGGGCTCGATACCCCCGTGTCTTTGAGAGATTCGTGTGCAGTGCCGCAGGTACACAGCTCTGAAGCTGGCTTCCCAGCGGAGGTCAAACCAGAACCCTCCCTGCTAATGTGGGATGCTTCAGAACTAGCATCTAAATGCCTTCCTCCTGCAATCTCTGTGTTCTGTGACCCGGAGGGCGGCACGTGCTGCGTAACTGCTTCCACTGCAGATGGCATTTCTACCAGCTTCTCGCAGCTCTGCCCTGCGGTGCTGGCCATCAACCGTTTGCCTAAGTGCACTCGGGAACTCCCATCTTTGCTGCCAGCGCTGTTGGAATCGGCACTTCCGTCCCCGGCACACAGCGAAGAGCTGCGGCATTGTGTACCGCCCTCGTTCCCTTCCAAGCATTTCTTCGGCTCACTGTGGTCAGAAGCGTCTGCGGCGCTAACGTAACAGTCGCTGTCACAGCTGCTATATTGGCCGCTGCCGCTCTCGGAGCTTCTGCTAAGCACCTGTCCAGCGGCGAAGGGAGAGTCTGAATTGCCGTGTGTTCTGGCCGGGAACGTTGGCTCCATCACCGTCTTTTCCAAGTCACAGATGGCTGTGGAGCTGGCCCGACAGAACAGGTACACGTGGTCTGGGGATGTGACATCCAATCCTTCCTGGCCATTCACCTTTCCTAACGTTTCGAGATCGAGGACGTCACTGAGCCGGGACAGGCCCAGAGTCCCGTTGGCAGCACTAACTCTGGGGTTGCAGCGTGGCCCCGAAGGGCTTTCCTTCCAGTTCCCATTGTTACGGAGGGGGAACATTTTAGGGGACTCACAGAAACTGACACTTCTCCGTGCCCGCGCTGCATGGCTCATGCTGCAACGCTGTGGTTGAGAGAAGATCACAGGCTCCTTTGAAATGGATTCATCCGGGCCAGGCACTGGCTGGGAAGATAGACCGTGACCACTGTCTGTTGTGTCTTCATAGCCAGGGCCAGGTGGTGTCAAACTGTCGTCAGTCTCTGAGGAAGAAGAAGCAGACGCTTCATCCCCAGGAAGGCCCTGTGTTGTAGTTAGACTTGAAGTTAGTTCTCGAGGCTCATTACTGGCTGAAAGCCAAGTGCTGGACAGCACTGGCTGAGGTAGGCCATGACGGCTGCATGGACCATTGTCAGACAAAGTGGCAGGTCCCTGGGAACGCCCCGGGTGCGAATAGGCACAAAAGGCCAACGTGGACGGAGGCATTGAACAGCACGGATGGTCCTGGAGATTCCCTGGGATACAACTCAGCCGGCCACTTGCATCAGCAGCTGCCACGTTGTTAAAGGTGACACCCAGCCCTGAGTTACTGGGACTCCCGTCTGGCAGACACTTTTGGGTGCTGCTAAGCGGTCCAGGATCATCCCACGCTTCAGAAAGTCTTGAGATGATACCGGTTTCCGTGCAGTCGTCAGTCAGAGTGGAAAGGAAGCTCTCAGCGTTTCTCAAGCCTTCGTGGCAGACTGTACAAGACAGAGCAACACACTCACAACTCAGCATTCATTATATTAAAACAGCAAACATCAACGTACGTTTGCGTCTTACAAACCATGCTAACAAAACACACACAGCAGTTCATCTGCAGTACCACCTCGCTGGCAAAGCAGACAGTCGGGCACCAGCACTCCTAGAAACGATTCCTTGCTCTGCCACTGACTCCATGTGTGACCTTGAGAGAGTCACTTCACCTGTCTGTCTCAGTTCACTCGCGTGTAATGTGGGGAGCACCTCACAGCATGCTGTCAGGCTTCGTTTTTAAAGTGCTTTGAGATCAAATAAAAGCACAGTACAGATCAAAAGGAGGCAGTGTGGCCTAGTGGACAGTGCACAGGACCAGGGCTTAGGAAGCCTGGGTTCTATTCCCAGCCACTGGCCTGCTGGGTGACCTTGGTCAAGTCATTTCTCCTCCCTGTGTCTCAGTTTCCCCATCTGTAAGATGGGGATACTACTACTGCTCTCCTTTGTAAAGCGCTTTGAGATGGACGGATGAAGAGTGTTACATATGAGCTGGGTATTGTTATTATCGCAGCAATACGGAGCATTAATCCAGTTTGCTTTGGTTTTTCTAGACTGCAGATAAGTGAAAATGCTTGAGAGCAGTTTGTGGGATTGGGTCAGGGGATAGAGGGATCCAGAGCCCTTCATTTCTAGGTCATATCAGGAACTAACGGATGAGGACTTTTGCTGTTCGTTGAGTGCCTTGCTAGGTCAGTAGAGAGACCAAAGACTGAGGGGCCACAGACTTACAGTCCCTCTCAGCGCCGTGGAGATGGTCCCTCCAAGCCAGGGCTGAGACAGACGGAGTGTGGGAGGAAGTTTGCAAACAGACAGTGGCCTAGAATCCAAAGCCTTTCACCAGCCCTTATTGCAGGGAATGTGTTAAGTGTTGGGTTTTTTAAATACAATTTTGCACTTAAATAAAAAGTGTCAATTCCTGCTTCAAACAGGGGCTAGACAGAGCTCGTGAGAAGGTGATTCTCCCGGGGCAGCTGAAGCCCTTACAAATGAGGGCATTCACAGTTCAGAAGCACCAGCCCAGCACTCATTCAGAAACGCTTACACGTGTGCTTGTTTGCTCCATCGGCCTCCTCTGGGAGCCAGGCATACTGGAAGCCCTGCAGGATTTGCACACACATCTTGTTTCCCTGTTCCAAGGCTAAGTCGATTGCTCTGTTTCCATCCTGAAGAGCAAAGGCACAAAAAACAAACACACACATTTTACTATTAAAATGTATTAAACACACACCACCTTATCATGCTCTGCTTCTCAAGGGGAAACACTCTGCTGGGAACTACCCAAGTGTAAAGGTAGGGCCATGCTGCGCTACTCAGCTGGAAAGCCACATTTGGAGGTCCGCCAACCTTAGGCTGGAAGAAGATTGCCCATTAGGCAGGTGATGTATGTAGTTTCCAGAGACAAAGGATCTCAAGCTAAACAGTAAAGGGTTCTAGTGGAATAAGGAGAAGCTGCATTTAAATAGTGCTGATCACACCAAAGCACTTTACTGATGGACGAAGCTCTTCATTCATTACTGAAATGCAGCCACCTCTGAGGTGGAACGTGGCAGCTGTTTAACAGCACACAGCAACGCAACAGGAATGGAGGTGTAGAAGAATACTGTACCCAGGTAAAGCAAAAGGCTCACCATGGGGTGAATGAATATAGGTGGGTCCTCCTGTTGCGAACACAGCCACGAGATGTCAACTCTTCAGGGCAGGGACCATGCCTTTATTTGTGCCTTGTACTGAACTGGCAGTTAAATAATAAGCTTTAATGACAAGTGCTCAGGGCCACGGACAGTTTAATACATTAATATTTCTGCTCTTGCTCAAAGTGACAAATGGAACAAATCTGGTGGCCTCTAATCCCTTGAAGACATTCACCCACATCATAAAATCACCAGTCAGTTCAGCACAGGCAGTAATCTCTGCTCAGGACCATAAGGAGACATGGTTATCCACTCAAGGTCCCTCACTGGTTATAGATTCATAGATCTTAAGGCGAGAAGGGACCACTATGATTATCTAGTCTGACCTCTGGCATAGCCCAGGCCACAGAACATCACCCAGCAAGTCTTGCATCAAGCCCACAAGCTTAGGTTGAGAGTGTATCAGTTAGAAAGATCCGGTCTAGAAGACTAGATAAAATGAGGAGAGAATCCATCACAGCCCTAAGAAATGCCTGTCCCTAAGTTAGTTAGCAAGACCTTGGGGATGACAACACTGAAATCATAATTATACGAACCTGGTCTTCGAGATTTGGGTCCCCTCCATTCCGCAGTAGGAGCTTCAAGCATTTATAACATCCCCAAGAAGCTGCTACATGCAATGGCGTGAGTTCCTCTACTGACCTGAAATACACAGTGCCCCACATTTACATTGCAATACCTTTATGTGCCTTAAGGAAAAAAATTCTTTAAATGCCACCGTGTGTCTATTAAAACGCAACAAAGGAAACAGGAGATTATGATACAGTATAGTGAGGAACACCCACTGATTGGTGTATATTTTGGTACGTACCATTTTGCAACTACTTCCAATCTTATTTGACAAAGGAAGAGACATTTCATTTAGTACTGTCTTGTCAAATGTATGATTGATTCTAGTGGAGGAATGGACTGCAACCACTCTAAATATTGGTATATCAACATGATAAGACACACAAATGTTTTTCTTTTTATATGTAAGCAAGGTCTGAATGAGCTCTCCGCTGCCAGCTAGTGATGAGCTGGGGGGAAAAGGCTTCAGGACCAGATGGTATTTACATGAACACACCTACTCTGCCTAGGTATCCAGCAGACAGAGCTGTATTGCCAAAGTGATCAATTTTGGTTGGTGTTGGGTTACAAATCACTGATTACTGGGTGGGGGCTCAAGCCGGGTCTGTGTTATATTGTTAAGAGGGGCCCCGGGATATTGAACCTGGCACGTGTTACTGCCGACTCCGTCTTGCAGACGGGTTACATCTACTCCTTGCACAACCTAGACCATAACAAGGTTTGTGGCAGTTTGTATCATTGCAAGCTTTCTAAGAAACACATAATTCAGGGGAAGTTTATTATTGTTTTAGAAGAGATCCGAGTTTCATATTTTGTCTGTCTTTGCAAATGCAACTTCTAAAAGAGTGACAAACGTTTAACATTTAAGAGGGTGATTTAAACGGCAATTCTGTGGAAGGCAAATCCCCGAGACATGTTATCGTACTGAATGCAGTTCTGAACATTGGCTCACAATGCCCTGGTTGAAATGGGACCATCTTCAATAGTAACACTTCTCACAAGTTTACAGTTTACAACTATTCTTCTCTGATCAAACTTCACATGCATCTCATCTTTTCAGCTGGGCAAATAAGAAAGGCAAAAAGTCACTCCCAGCATCTTTCAGTTCAAATGTGATTCAACAGGACACAGCATACCTGGATCTCACACATTTTCCACACTGGGCTGGAGCAGAGACTACGTACCTCCCTGATTGTTCTGCCTTTTCAGCAGGTGAGAAATAAAGCCACACAATTCACACTGAACACATCTGTGTCCAGTTTGTCAGTTTCAGCGCTCCCAGATAGACCCTTGAGCAAGTCTCCCGTACATCAGCGCACTGTGATAACCCACCGAACAGAAAGTCTTTCATTTTGTGCTTCCAAGTTATTTTTAGGCATACATAAGGAAAGGCAAATGTTAACTTATCCAAGATCACAAGTTTGGGGGAGATTTCCCAATGATTAGAGCACAAAAGTAGGGGTCAGGACTCCTGGGTTCTATCCCCAGCTTTGCCAATAGCTTAGCGTGGGACCTTGGGTAAGTTGCTTCACCTCTCAGTTTTTCTATCTGGACAACAAAGATGTTGCTTTGCACTGGAAAGGGAGAAGGATGAATTCATTAATGTCTGAAGTGCACAAAGTATTAAATGGGCTTCATTGGCTAACTAAAAACCACCCCCCTTCTCCCCAAATAAAAAAGCTTCCCGATTACCTGGCGTTTGGGTTTCCACCATACTGGAGAATCAGATTCAGACAACGAACCCCGCTTTCCCTTTCTTTGCCAGCAGCCAGATGGATCGCTGCAATTCCCTCTGGCAGAACCAGGTTAGGATCTGCACCCTGCTTCAGCAGTGCTTCCACAACCCTTCAGATGTACAACAAGACACCAACTTACACGCTACCCACATGGGATAGTCACACAGCATGACTAGACAGGGACCATTCAACATGAGACTCAGCTCTTCGGGGCAGGGACAATGTCTTTTTAAAGTTTCTACAACAGTCATTCCACTATGTGAGTATCAGACAACAATACCGTAGACCTGTAATTTATTGGAAGTCTATCTGATGCAAGTGGGTGTGCCAGAAGATACATAACTTCAATGTCTAAAGATGCATCTTTCAACTGAGGTTACACTGCTGGCAAGAATCTCTCCTTAGCCCCAAAAATCTCCAGACGTGCTGGTTAGGGACTGGTGTTCCCTAGAAGATGTAATCACCTGACAAATGTCATTTTTTTGTAACAATCTTTTCCTTTTTTTAATCTCGTTTAGGGTTTTGTGTTTCTGCCCCTGGCCATGGTATCTGAGCACCTGCCACATAAAATCTATTAGCAAGTGCAAAGTCCCTACTGGACTTCATTAAATCTCATGCACGTTTCCCATTTCAGGATAAACTCTGCATGGGACCACGTTGTGCATACTTTAAATTTTATTAAATGTACTTGTTTGTTTTTCTTTAAATTGATTTGGGTCAGGTTTTTCTCCCTTGGATTGTTTTTTTCTTGGGGAGAGGGGTAGAAAGGGATTCTTAGAGTAAAATGCACTTTTTGAAGAGGAAGGTTTTGGCAGCGGTTTATAACAATAATTTGGTTGTCACTAAAACGCCTGCCGACGCACACTTTCTCTTCTCACTCTTCATCGGGTGGGGGGAGGGGGGAAATATACTTGTAATTCACAAGTGATTCAAGATTGTTACAAGTTTTGCAACAAATTCCTGACCCTCAAAACAATGCACACAAGGAGCGCCTACTACTTTTATCAGTAGCCTTCACTTGTCATAAGCTTCCTGTTGCCTCTGGCTGCTGGCTTTCCAGAGGCAGCACCTGGTGGGGTGCTCCCCGCTTCGGATAGCTTTCCCGTGCATTGTAGACTTATGCTTCCGGTTTCTCCTGATTACTTGTTTAACCCAGAGGCCCTATTTTCAGTGAGAAAGCAAAGGCTCCGCCCCTTGTTATAGTCAGACAAACCTCAGGCTTCTACTAACAAGTCCAGACATATTTCCTTGCATTCTGAGATTAGATAGCTGGTAGTTTTCAGCAAAATATAGGGGCTTTTGAATCCTCTCATTTCTACCATACAATCATCAGAGCAGCCTTTTTCTCCCCACACTTTAGAGGGACTTAATCCCCTGAGGCAGGAACAACTTCCCCTCTCTGTGCCTCAGTTTCTCCATCTATAAAATGGAAATAACGATACAGATCTGCTTTGTGATCTACTGATAAAAGCATTATTACCACCTCTTAAAACACAGCAAGGTGCGAAATAACCACGAATTACCATGATACAACCAGTTCCTTTCTTGGTAAGCATAATACAAGTATAATTAATTGCTTGACACTGGAATTGCAATGACTAGGAGGTACGATTTGCAAAAAGGTATCAGATATTATTGCACATGTTCAAGCAAAGTACTGCATGAATAGCATTCGGCTACACTCTATTGTATGCTTTGGATCATACCAGCAGGCAGGCTCAGAGCTGCAGTGAGTGCAAGGTTACTACAGCTTATTTATATACCCTCCGAAGCAGCTTAGGTACTTGGAGACATACAAAGACACAGGCTCTGCCCGAAAAGGTTAGTCTACCCAGGTGACACAAACTCAGGCAATATGACCAGAAGCAAGCCACCAAGAATCCTCAATGCCTGGCTACTGCTCCACCGTATGTTTTATTAGCGCTGCTTTGTGACAGCAGGATGGGAAGAGCAGCGGGCAGACGCACACCCACACAAGCACCATAGGCCTGTATTCTTTGGCTGTGCTCTCCACGGGGGTTGAGTGGAAACCAGGGAGTAACAGCCATAGAGTCAGGTCAGGGGACAAACTTGCTAGCTAGTTAGTAGAGGGAGCCCTCCCCTCCCCAGTGCTGCACATCCCTTCCCCTTCCCCCCAGCAATGCAATGTGCATGGTGAGCAGCCATTCCTCCAGTGAGCGAGCCCCTCAGTGCACAGCGAGCTACCTCCTGTCACCAGTGCAGTGTGTCCCCGCTAGCCCCATAGCAGCAAGGTGCCCTCCCTCTCAGCGCAGCAACCCCCACTGCACACTGAGCCTGCCTGCTGACCCATTCTCAATGCAGTGTAGTGATACCCCCACTGCTACCTACAGTTTAACTCCCCCAGTGCAGTGCATGCAGTGACACCCCCAGTGCTACCTATAGATTAACCCCCCAGTGCATGCAGTGACCACCCACTGCTACCTGTAGATTGACCCACCAGTGCAGTGCGTGCTGTGACCCCCAGTGCTACCTATAGATTGACCCCCCAGTGCAGTGCATGCAGTGACACCCCCACTGTACCTACAGATTAACCCCCCCGTGCATGCAGTGACCACCCACTGCTACCTGTAGATTGACCCCCCAGTGCAGTGTGTGCCGTGACCCCCAGTGCAGTGAATGCAGTGACCCCCAGTGCTACCTATAGATTGACTCCCCCAATGCAATGACCTCCACTGCTACCTATGCATTGACCCCCCCCCCAGTGCAGTACGTGCAGTGACCCCCCCACGGCTACCTATAGATTGACACCCCTCCCCGAGTGCAGTGCATGCAGTGACACCCCCCTACGTACGTACGTAGCCCACCCCCCCTGCAGCGCGCCCCTCCCCCGCTTACGGGGCCTCCTCGCCGTGCAGCGCCTCGCACAGCCGGGCGGCCAGGACCGCGGGCCCCGCGCGGCTCATGCCGGCTCCGGGGGGGGACCCGCTCCCCTCAGCGCATGCGCACACCGGGCCGATCCCCGCCCCCTTCCATCTCGCGGAGGGCGGGGCCGCCGCCGCTCCTCCGCCCGCGGGCAGGGTCCGGAGCCGCCCCGGGGGGGCTCCCGCTCACGGCGGCGCCATCTCGCCTCAGCCCCGGGCCGCGTCCGCCCGTCCGCTTCGAATCGCCCTCCCGCCCCGACTGCGCCTGCGCGCCCGCTCCTCATTGGCCGCCCCGGCTTCTCCCTCCCAGCCAATGGGCGAAGGCGCGGCCCGCTCGCGCGCATTGCAGGGGGGCGGGGGGGTTTCCCAGGGCAGCGCTGGTCTAAGCCCAGGGGCCGCAGCAGGGGGGTCCCCAGGGGGCTTAAAACAAGACAAGGAGCCCGAGACCCTGGCGCTGAAAGTTTCCTTTTATTCCCCTGATTTGGCTTCAAGGCAGATTTTTGCAAAGCTTTTTGTTTAAACCATTTCCCGAGACCGGCCGCCCCCTTCGGATGCCCAGTAAAACCACCAGCATGGCCCTTAGTCCTGGTGGGGGCGGCCCATCGAAAGCCCAGGCTACGCCAAGGTGTGGAACTGAACCTAGGCGGGAGCTGGCCAACCCAGCAAACACACACCTGTAACACGGAAAATCCCATTTGTGTTCCTTGCAACTATTTACAACACAACACGTCTGGTCTGGCCAGTGAAACCCTTGGACACGCAGAGAGGCAGAAAGTCGTCCAGCCAGTTAAAGCCACTGTCACGAGCTTTATCTTGTGATGCAAAGATCCGATCTTTTAACTGGCAACAACAAAATATTAAAGGCAATTCATACAGGCAGCTTTATGGAGAGAGTTCATTGGATGAACAGTTTTCCTGGAGATCTGCCTTTCAGAGACAGAGGCAGCAATTCTATGGGCAGTTAAACAAAAAAAAACTGTTACAAGACTTTTGGCTCATCAGTACCCAGTGCACAAGACACCTTGCAGCGAGAAGAGGCCTCCTGAATTATGCAACACTGGTAGGGAGAACTGGGCACTTGAAGGATCATTTATTACACAGTGGCTTCGATTTCTGCTGGCTCTTCTTCCTCGAGCAGGCTGTAGGAGGCGTGGGTCTGGAAGGGCCTCTGGAGGGGATGGGCTAGGAGCTTAGCCATGCAGTTGTGCAGCTCCACCGCAGGGCCTGTCACAGACACTTCATATTTGTAATTGGTGCCTTTGGTGTCCAGGTTGCTGAAAAAAGTGTACATCTCCTGGCAAAAAACAGAACAGCTCAGTTACAATCAGGCATTGAGCACGAGACGAGGGCTGGCTAAAGCACACTGCTGGGGTCAGGAGACGTGGGTTTGCCACTGACCCACTGTGGGATTCCAAGCAAGTCACTCTGTGCCAGACCTCAGTTGCCTTATCAGTTAAATGGGCGTTAATGCTGGCTGACCTATGGGATGCCATGGGGTTTAATTCATTAACATTAACTCATTAGCGCCTGGATGTGATCCTCAGGCAGACAGCACTAGAAATGTACAATCTGATCACGAGCTGATGCCTACTGTGATGCCAACACTTGCTCAGTAAGAATGGTACTAACCGAGGCTGGATTTGAACTGACCATTTACCAGTGAAATACCAATCCCACAGGTCAATGTCAGAGTCAGCACAACGGTTTAAACCGCACATGGAACCCCGTTGGGCCTAGATATTACAGCACAAATATGCAACAGTGTTCGGGCCTAGACCATTGTAATACCAGGGCACCAGCAGCAGTTGAGAAGTTAATAAGCATTGGACTTGAGACACTGTTCAGCTGCTGCAGTCCTATTCCTAGAGATTATTAAAATAGAGAGTGGGTCCAGACACAGACTCAGAGAGACACCCAAATACTGGCTCTGTCCTCAGTTGATGTCCTAAGCTTTTACCTCGAATGTTTGCCATTTTCCTTTTCTGGGGATCGCTGGGCCACATGCTAAGAATGGAGCCAGCGTGTCTGCCATGACAGGCATCGCCATTGGGCAGCTGGAGGAACACGCAAAAGGGGCCGACTGAAAGAACCTCTCCATCAACCAGCTCTCAGGGAGGGAAAAAAATCGATGGATCTTAACCACTAAGAAGACATGCAAGGAACGGCCCAGGACAGACGGGGATGGCAGAGGCTCGTCCGTGTCTGAAGCGATGTCTGATGGAGTGGGGAGGATTCAGACAAGAGAGGGTGGGTCACGCTACGGATCCCACGGGGCTCTCACCTTCCAGCTCGTCTCGTCCTCTTTCTCCTCGGCACCATTGTGGATATAAACCACGTCAAAAAAGAAATAAGGGCACTGAAGCATTTTCTGTAAAGAAGGGGGAAAAAAGAACATTCCTTCTCACTGTAGAGTCTGATTAGCAGGTTCCACGGCAAAGCCGAATCCCAGGGTAAACGGCTGGGGGGGGAAAGGTACCAACCTGACCGATGTGGCGCTTGAGATCTTTGGGTATAGCAAGGAGCAGTGCGCCCGCCCTGTGCCCCACCCACCCTCCTGATGGGAACCCTTCATCTTTCTAAGGTAAGAGTGGTGTCCCTGGTCCACTTAAAGCCTTGGTTCCGTGGCCGATTGGTGCTGGCTGCAGCAGTGGCTTTTGTGCCATGATTGCCAGTCGGCTGGGAACCGAGCCGAGACTAAGCTCATTCCAAACAGCCCATCGTATGGCCATCGCTGCTGACCTGGGCTGGATGCAAACTACTCCCCGTTATCTGGCCTGAGCCATCCAGCCCTGCCCATCTCCCCACATAGCAAGCACGTGAGAAGACTCAGCTTTGGGGTCAGGCCCCAGCAGGCACCATTGGCTCTTGAGAACTGCAGGGGTTTATGGCCTGATTCACAAAGGTTCTTGATTCCAATGAGGGTGCCCAGCACCTCTGACAGCCGCCCGCCCCGGACAGTAATCCAGCAGCACTGGAACGCTGCTTTCTGGCCAACGAGTAGGAAAACCAGGAAGCACCTACCTTCATCTGCTCTGTCATGGAGAACTGAGGCTGACAGGCCGGCCGGCTATACACCAGGATGGTCCTAACCACATAGGGAGGCGGGATTGTCTGGATGTTTTCCGTCACCGGCAGCTCAATCTTCTGCTGTCTGTGCCATTAAAGAGAAAGGACGCGGTTCAGAAATACCAGCACACGCGCTCACGAAGCCGCTGGGTCAGGTTGCTAAATAAGCACATACACAGCTACGGTTATGGCCGCCAGCAGGTGAATCTTGGCTCCAGACTCTGTTAAAGCCAATGGGCCAAGCACCTGCTTTCAGGTTCTACAGAAAGAGCAAACAACATGCAGTAAAAACAGCTGCAGACAATGGGGCCGCATGGCAGATAAGAGCTAAGCTCCATGGTCGGAGGGGTTTCCCTGGTTGTGGATACAAGGGCTAGGACATCCCTTGCAGCCTGTGTGTTTTGGAGAAGCCCAGCAGGAGGAGTTCTGAGCAGGACCCAGAGAGGAAGCAGAGAGAGAGTTTCTTGGGCACAGAGCTCGCTGGAGTGGCAGACCTGGAGATCTCTCAGCAAAGAAGCTGCCTGCTGCTGTTTGTTTCTACTGTGTTCATGGAAACAGGACTTTTTTTTAAATCAGCAAAAATACACCAAGAACGAGACCTGATTCGTATAACTGATTTCTCATCCTAATGGAAACAAGGCCCTGGACATTGGCTAAACCGCTCAGACCAAAGGGGCAATGCAACTATAAAAGCAATATTTGCAATCTCTGCCTTCCACGGAGCAGCAAACTTACATGAGATTGAAGAGGCCTTCGAGATCTAGGGTCCGAGAGATAAGGACTTGTCCTTACACACACGCGGCCCTTCCAGATGCCTTTAGGTGTTTTTAGCTGGTGAGCTCGTTGGGGTCACTTGGCGTGGCACTTGGTTTGTGCAGCACCTACCACCATGGAGCCCGAGCTGGGGGGACCTCTGGGAGCTACCGTGAGTGATAAGCAGTCAGACATTTCTGATTGGTCACACTCTAGAGACAGACAGAGGGGATGGGGACGGGCTGGAACATCTACATGTATTTAGTAGGGCAAGCAGACTATTCCCAAATAAAATGCTGAGTTTTCCATCTATCCTAGGCGACCTGCTACCAGAGTAGGTGAGCATCTCATAACCTTTAACGTATTTATCCTCCCAGGGCAGGGCTACTAGTCCCATGGGACAGGTGGGGAATCGAGGCACAGAGAGGAGTGATTTGCCAGTGTGTCTATGGCAGAGAAAAGAACTCAGCCCAGGTCTTCAGAGACCCAGGACAGTGCCCCTAACCGCTGCACCATCCTTCCTAGGGTGCATGAGCACTGACTGCAGCCCCTGCTCAGCTGAGTCACCCCACCAGGAGGGATGTCTGTGATCTCTCTGCACTTGTTCCCTACAGGCAGCACTGGCTTACACGGAGATCTGCTGCCATCTTCTGGCAAAACAGCAAATAACAGAAATATCAAAGGATCCCCCAGATCATCCACACACTTCATGAAATAAATCCGTTACAACCCAGTCCTTTGTTCCCAGAATAGGATTCACTCTCTCAGGATCTGGGAAGTTCCTGACGTCAGGCCTGAGTTGGGCTCTAAGCTTCCTAGAAAGTCAAGGGGCTGAGAATCTGCATGTGCACATTACCAAAAGTCTCCGTGGCTGCAAGGCTCGCAAGCCCTGTTTTGAAGGCCAATGTCACTCTGTTCACGGGCGACTAGTGGCGTTGGGGGATCGGAAGGCAAGAAGGATCTCAGGCCCATCCATCTACAGCACAGACCCCACTCCCCACCCCCCATCAAAGGATACTGAATGACTTGCAGACCACGGTTTCCAGGTCATACAGGCAGCTGCACACTTCTCTGGGGTCAGAAGTGAAACCGGAGAGCTAAAAGACAAGACAAGGATGTTAAAGGAAAGCGACAGAGACTCCCTCTGGAATCACACCAGGATGGTGGTGCGAGGAGAAATATATCTCTGCAGTGCTTAGCACAACGGGATCCCTAGTCTCACAATGGGTTCCCTAGGTCCTGTTGTGAGAGAGGCTATTAAAGGCGATCTGGAAAGATGACGCCCAAGGCTTGCCCCTGGGTATTTTCTGTGATGGATAAAGGCCTGCCAGGGGGGTTTGAGATCACTGTTTTCAATTTTTTCTACTTCTTCTACAAGTTAGGAATTTGGGGCTCGTCTCCTGTTTTTCCTGGAAAACCCAACTAGATGGCTGCTTGGACAGCTGCAGCCTGGCTGCTCCTCGGTACCGGAAAGGAAAGTGCCAGGCCTGCGGGGGTCTCACTCACCCAGGTGACATCATTGTTCACCACCACCAGAGCGAACTCATGGCATTTGTCGATTTTGTGCTTCGTCCTCACAAACATCTCAATCATCTTCTGGGAGATGTTCAGAGCATTGGTTTTGGATCTACAGAGCAAGCGAGAGAGCACACCAAGGTCAGCGACTGTCTAACACCTTCCCATCCCCCTCCTCCCCCAGCATCCATGCATCACATCCTTAAGGGGGCGTTGAGGGAGTCCCAGCCCCCTGATCCGCAGGGCTGATCCGAACTGGGTCTCAACACCTCTCTGCCTCTTCCCTCTGGCTCACTTTAACATCACTCCCTCCCTATTTTCCAGGCTGCACTGTCTGATGCTTTGAACATTGGCCTGACACCTGGACCCCGCCGTCACCCATGCCTTTCCTCACCATGCCCATGAGGCCATGTCATCCATAGACCTCCAAGTACTTTACAAGAGGAGGGTCAGTACCATTAGCCCCATTTCACAAGTGGGGAAACTGAGGCACAGATAAGGGAAGCAATTTGCCCAGGGAGTCCGTGACAAAGGTGGGAACAGAACTCAGATCTCCTGGCTCCCAGGCCGGTGCCCTGGACGGCATTCACAAAACACTGACCGAAAGATAGCAGCTGCTCACCCGTTAAAGGATTCTAGTTTGGGCAGAGACATTTCCTCGGAGAGGTCTAAACAGATGATCTGCATTAAAGAAAACAGCAGCATTAGCATCTCATGTCATTCATGAGCCCATCACACCGGGAGCTTCGGCTTTACATGGACCACTAGCCCCCACGGCCCGGCTGAGCGGCAACGTTTAAACACACACACGGCCAAAAGAAGGGTGCCGGGTTAAATCGGGTCCATTCGGCTCAGCGACCTGGGCGCGGACTCTCTCCCAGCAGAAGGGCCTTGGCAGAGAATGCAGGAGACCCACCCAACGGAAGGCAGGCCAGGAGTGTGACACTGGCACTCACCACTTTCTCAGGGCAGTTCACCCTGGGTGTCTTGACCTGGAACTCCGTGGGCTGTGCCGGGACCTGCCAGTCTTTGCCGTTGGGCGTGGCAGCGCTCTGCGGGCTGTCATCGGCACTAGCCGCCTCTCCTTCCCCCTCGCTGCGGTTCCCCACGCTGGCCTGCGCGCTCAAGGCTCGGTCCTCGGCCCCCTCCGGGTTGGAGCGGGTTCTGGGCCTCTGCTCCGTCGCCTTCTCCTCCTCCTCCTCGGCGGCGCTCCCAGGCTCCGAGGTGTCCATCAGGTTGCTGCGCTCCACAGGCGACTCCAGCTTGGATGCAGCACAGGGCTCCCTGGTTCAGGCAGAGGGAGATAAGCGGCTCGGTGCAGGGATGCTGCACGGACAACCCCATGTACAGCCCTCCACTGGCCGGAGTGGGCTAGACAGGGCCTGGCGGGACTTTCTCCCCTCCCCTCCCTATGGCTTGCTGCTGGGAGGGCATCGGGATCTGGCCTTTGGGTAGGGGTCCCCAGCACCCAAGTCAGTCAGCCTGTTCCCCCATCGCTCCCCCAACCCACCCTGGTCCCTCCATCGCTCCCCCCAACCCAGTCCCTCCATCGCTCCCCCAACCCACCCCAGGCCTCCCCATCGCTCCCCCC